GCTATAAATCAAGCCAAAATAGCATTTTAGATTTAGGTTTAATAAAAACAGACTTTTGGGCACCCTTCAGCTATCCTGTTTATCCACTTCAGGAGCTGGAGAATTATTTTATGCTCTACTTATTTATAGAGTTTGCAATATTCAATCTAATTATTTATTTAGCTACAGCCTCCAATGTTTACTCAGAAGGCTATTCTGGGGCATACAGATTTTTTTTTTTTTTGGACTGGCTGAAATGTTACATATTTATTAGGAATTCAAAGGGTAAAAAAATGTTTGGAAATTCCAGACTGTTTCCTCACATAGAAATATAACCCTTTCCCAAGCCAACATGCCTAAATTAGGGTATGTTTAGAAGAGGTAAGGAGGGGAGAACATAGTTATTTACTGAAGAGCACATAATGTCTTTCACTTGAAAATCCACATGAAAAGAGGAAAAAAATCCTCTAAAGCTATATGGAAAAGCTATGTATTAGCATATATTGTGCTGTAGACTCCCTTTGGCTAGGAGCATAAATGATTGTATAAAAGCACACGTCAAAGTTGCCTAGCAGAGCACAACAGTACATATAAATATGTACATGTCCATCAAATAAGGCCTCAGTCCTGTAAATCACTTCAGCATGTGAAGTGCTTAACTGACTCCTTGTGCTTGAAGATAAAAATGTGTTGAAGAGTTTTGCCAGATTGGGGCTGTCATGCCCAGCACCCTGCAGGATTGAGCCGTGCATCTCATGCAATCCACAGTGAAATCCACACAACAACCCTGGTTTCAAATAGTCCCTGGGTGCCTATACAGCTACTCCACACTTATATTCTCTACTGACAAGATGCATAGGCTATCGAGCACCAGTTGCTGCTACCAAAGACAGACCAAATTTGCAGCATGGAAGTTTGTTGAATTTCCAGGGTGTGTACTTTGGCTTTCCTTCCTGCCCTCTCCTTCTCTGCCTCCTCCTCTCTTCCCATGGACCAGACTTGTGTAGAATAAGTCGATTTGCAAATAATCTTTAATAACTTTTTATGTTAACAGATTTTCCTCTAAGCTAGCCTGTGTTTTGAGACTATTGAGTACAGGGGGAGCCCAATATATCCTCACTTAAGGACCAGTCCTATTAGGAGATGAGAATCTTCACAGATGTGTTGGATACCCTCAACTCTCGCTGACTTTCAGAGGCATGTAGCACCTCACAGAATCTGGCTCTATTCTGAGCACAGCTCCCATTGATTTCAATGGAGGGTGCACCTGTGTTAGCAAAAGAATTGAGTCCAGGTTCATCATTGTGCTCCGGCTGCTTTGCACCACTTTAGTGAAACAAAGCAGCTATAATCACGGGTTAGCCAGCCAGCTAAGCTAGGTTTATGGCTGCTTTGGATCACTGGACCAACACAAACCAACCACAGCACATTGATGAATCTGGTCCCTGATGACTGAAGTCTTAACACTAAGCTGTTCTTGAGTTACAGGTAAACAAGAGAAATTAGCTACTAGTTTTAAAAAAATCTGGCCTGTAACTTTAACATGGCTGGAGGAAGAAAATAAAGGTTTCTTCTGGATGAGGCATGTACATTTTCGGGACAATCTAATTATCATGATTATCATGCCAAAGTCAGAGTGGGTTAAACACAAAATTTAGAATGGAACGTTGACCGCTGAATTAGCTGTGGAGCTGCTAATACACAGTTCCATGGCAGGAATATGAGGAAGACCAGGAAGCAAGTCAGGAGACAGTTATAAAGATATATGTGTTCCTGGTCAGGCCTGCTTCTTTTTACAAATGAAGCAGGTTTTTCAGATCGTGATTTATCTGAGATTTAGAAAAACGTGCTGAGGCAATCATGCTGTTTCTGTAATTAAGCTCTAATAAATAATAATAATAACAACAAGACTTTGTACTAGAGCCAAGAAAAATCTCTGGAACACGGACTTCTACTCTGTCATCAAGTAAAATAAGAAGTAGACTCAAACTCAAGAAAACGGACAAAAAGTATTTCTGTCAGCAAGGAGACATAAGCGCTGACAGCAAATTGCATGAGCACTGTTAATTCAGAGGCAGTTAGGATGGCTCTTGGACCATCTTCTTTGTGTATATTCTTGTTAGGTCCATATCACTGAATGGTCCAAAAGTCGTCATTAATAATTTTAAGTTTTTCAACTCCTTCTGCAAAGCCCCATGTAAATTACAGTGCTTTATAAATAATTTTAAAATAATAATTTAAAGTGAATGTATATTTCTTGCAGAACAAGCCCTGACTCATTTGTGATGGGCTTAAAATAATAGATGGCCATGTCTTCTAATTTATCTAAGTCTTAAAGTATTAGAAAAGCAAATTCAGCATGTTTACTCATGAAGACCTGTGATCATTTTTTAGAGGGCTGACATGATCATACATCAAAGGGGCTTGACCTTTGGAGCGCTCTGCTGATTCATCAATGTGAATTGATGCCTGTTTCCTTTAGAGGGCCGTAGATGGGAATGTGGCATTAAAAATGCAGGAAAAACACAAATCTGAAATATGAAAACATTGGAAGACAAAGCAGTTTTCATTTCCCCCATCTCCCTCGATTAGATATTTGATGTCAAATAATGGCTGTACCTAGCGCAGAATTGCAAACATCAATTCCATTGCTCCTAAAAACCGGTCAGAAAGTGAAGAATCTGGATGTTGCGTTAGGTTTTAAGCCTTCTTCTCCCCATGAATGTATAGTTTTTCACATCGGGTACAATACATTTGCTGTCTTCACACCCATTATCAGTGTGCGGGCCACAGTGAAAAGAGGATGCAGCTGTATACCCAATCACACCTGTAATCTCCATTCCTCCGTCATCTTCTAGAGACTAGAGTCCTCGCAAGTTACACCTCACTTAGAAACTACTTGCTTACACAATCAGACATAAAAATACAAAAGTGTCACAGCACACTATTACCGAAAAAGTGCGGACTTTCTCATTTTACCATATAATTATAAAATAAATGAATTGGAATATAAATATTGTACTTACATTTCAGGGTATAGTATATAGAGCAGTATAAACACGTCGTTGTCTGTATGAAATTTTAGTTTGTACTGATTTCGCTAGTGCTTTTTCTGTAGCCTGTTGTAAAATTAGGCAAATATCTAGATGAGTTGCTGTACCCCCTGGAAGACTTCTGTGTACCCCCAGCGGTACGTGTACCCCTCGTTGAGAACCACTGGCTTAGGGCACTGGTTTTCAACCAGGGGTCTGCGGCCCCTTGGGGGGCCATGAGCAGGTTTCAGGGGGTCCACCAAGCATGGCCTGCATTAGACTCGCTAGGGCCCAGGGCAGAAAGCTGAAGCCCCGCAGTGCAGGACTGCAGCCTGGGGCCCCAAGCCCCACCACCTGGGGCTGAAGTCAAAGCCTGAGCAACTTAGCTTCACAATGCCCCCTGTGGCGTGTGCCCCGGGCAACTGCCCAGCTTGCTACCCCTTAATGCCAGTCCTGGCTTTTATATGCAGAAAAGCAGTTGTGGCACAGCTGGGGCATGGAGTTTTTATAGTGTGTGTGTGTGGGGGGGGAGGCCCTCTGAAAGGAAAAGGTTGAGAACCACAGGCTTAGGGCAATTCAGATTTCCTTCTGTAGGGTAGGTTTTGAAGAACATTCTTAAGTAACACTCTTTTTCTGTATGTTGTTGGGGGTAGAATTAGTTTTCATAAAGCAATGACCTGGCTAAGTATAATTTCACTGTTGGATAAGAAAATTGTCCAACCTATGTTTTGGGGGAAGCTGAAGGTCCGTTTCAACGATGGAATATTGATTTTTTTAAAATGCTATTTGAATAGCTCTAGAATACAAAAGCCATACATACATCTAACAAACTACATGATGAGAATGAATAGTACTGTAAGGGCAGTATTGTAAAAGGCTGTTATTTGAACACAGTACCAAGAGCGCCGTGTTGTAGTAGATAAGGGGACCTGGAGGGTGTGGCACCTATACTATGTCATACCAAATAAATACTACAGAGTGGAGAGGGCAGGACAAATGCATTTGCGGGAATGGATGACAGCTGGAAAGGAATGGGGAGAGTCTAGCTGCTGGGAGCACTATAATTTATTCCACAATTATATTCGGCACCAACAAGATGCATCGGCTACTGAGCACCAGTTGCTGCTTCCAAGGACGGAGCAAATTTGCAATATGGAATTTTGTTGAGTTTCCAGGGAGTGAAGGGAATGGCTTTCCTTCCTGCCCGCTCCTTCTCTGACTCTTCCCATCTGCCCACAGACCAGACTCGTGTAGAATAAGCTGCTGCTTCCAGCTGCTTGGAGAAGCTCGATAGCCGAGGCATGGAGAGGCTGGGGGAAACACATACCTTCCTATTCCTGCAGGGAGAAGACGGTTTACCTTCCCTGATTATGGGAGAGGGGGAAACTCCCCAAGGCTTTCCTTCTATTCTCCACCACTCCTGGTCTAAAAGATCACTGTGTATGTCTATTTTCCTCTTTTGACTTCCCATGCCAGGTGCTCTGAGGTGCTGTTTTGCCGCTTCTCCCCCATGTGGGCCTAGGGGATATATTTATTTGGCAGCTTTTTACTTCCTTCCCCAACCACACACACAATGGGAGTGGGCCTGCAAAATGGTGTGCGGAGAAGACTTGACAGGTTCAACTCTGTTTCAGGAATAAAGCATCTTGAGTCCTGAGGCATTATGAACAGAAGACCGACTAACCTTGCTCTGCCATGCCTGGCTCATATTCCCCAAATCCTGGAGCAAAGTCTGTCTGTTTCCACATCTGCAGTAGATATGGCACTAATGTATATCACAAGAGTTTATAGCAGAAGTGAGATTGTCCTACTGCCACATCATCAGTCATTTCATTTGAGTTCTTTGGTCTTAAAGACCTCTTTAAAATATGTGGAGAGTTTTAGAAAATGAATTTCTTGTTTTCCCCTACTGTTAAATTACAAAAATGCAAAGGGAAAACAGAATACAATCTTGAATGCATTTTATATTCTTTGGGAAGCAAAACTTACCATCCCCAGAAATATCATTTCCTCTTCTCTCATTTTCACTGTTTTCTTCCACTGGGTAAATCCACGCCAAACCTGAATTGTAAACATGACTCTAATGAGATAAATGGGCCTTGTTACTGCTTCCTTTACTGCAGCAGGCACAGGAAAAAACAAATAGAGGAAGGAAAAACAGAATATACAATTGAAGCAATTACTCCTGAACAGGTTGCCATCTGCGGTATTATTTTAAACAAATTCTGAAGTCTGCTCTTCCCCCTCCTCCCAGCACATGTTAAAAGCATAATTGTTGAAAGCTTGTTTAGATCTAGGGTCCATTCTTGCTCTCACTGAGCTCTGTGATCCTGCCAACACACAGGAGTATTCGCCATGTGGATCTTAGCTAGCAATGGCCTGCCTCTCAACTCCACACTGACTACATTGTCTCAGTTTTTGCAGGGTTGCTTCTTTCTATTTAGAGACAAACTCTCTTTTGCCCCAGAGAGAGCAGCAAGTTTTACTCCCCAAACACATGAATCACTTGGATCTTGGGGTGTGGATCAGAGAGGACAGGTTGGGCCACTGAAATCAGAGGACTGCCCCGGCAGGACTGTTCCCTTCAGTTTCGTTTCTAGTGCTTTGTCCAATCTTGTTTGGAATGGCCCACGTGATGGGGTTCCAACCAGCTACACAATTAGGCTAATGCCAATTCAGAATGTTCTGTATCATGAGGTTCATTTCTGTTCATGCTGCTCTTGTGAACAGGGGTGGCTCTATGTATTTTGCTGCCTCAAGCACGGCAGTCAGGCAGCCTTCAGCGGCGTGCCTGCAGGAGGTCCGCTGGTAACGCGGATTCGGCGGCATGCCTGCGGGAGGTCCGCCGGTCCCGCTCCTTCGGCGTACCCACCGCCGAATTGTCACCGAAGCCACGGGACTGGCGGACCTCCCGCAGGCATGCCGCCGAAGGCAGCCTGACTGCTGCCCTCACGGCGACCGGCAGGCCTCCCCCCGCGGCTTGCCGCCCCAGGCACGCACTTGGTGCATTGGTGCCTGGAGCCGTCCCTGCTTGTGAACAAAACACATTGTCAATTCTTCCAGCACTGTTCTGACAGAAACAAGACTCACCTTTTGAATACGAAGTGCGGCAGCATCCAAATTCGGACCTTTTACTCCCTGAAGTCTGGCTTGTCTTTCTCTCTTTTCTTCCAGGTAGATTTGCTTCATGAATGTAGCCCTTAGGCGACCCTGCCGAGCCCTCTCCGAAATCTGGATTACTCTAATGACTTCTTCGAGAGGCAAGGGCTTTATGTATTTCTTCTGTGGTACAGCGAAAAACACAGATAAATGTTATCAGAACATGTAGATCCTAAGAGTTATTTTCCTGAATCATTTTGAAAATTCAGATGTGTCTTTTGTTAACTCTATGTTAGTTGGAAAATTGAATAATTAATGATATCTTAGGGCTTGTCTACACTACCGCGGTAGTTCGACGGCTGGCAATCGAACTTCCGGGTTCGATTTATCGCGTCTGGTGTGGACGCGATAATTCGAACCAGGAAGTGCTCGCCGTCGACTGCGGTACTCCACCTCAGCGAGAGGAGTACCGCGGAGTCGACGGGGGAGCCTGCCTGCCGTGTGTGGACCGCGTCTGAACCGCGGTAAATTCGAACTAAGGTATGTCGACTTCAGCTACGTTATTCACGTAGCTGAAGTTGCGTACCTTAGATCGAATTGGGGTGTTAGTGTAGACCTGGCCCTAGTGGAATCCATCCAAGACAAAAGTAGCCCCAACACATAGAGGGTGAAACCCATACCTCAGGACCACCTAATTTTAGTTTTGACAGTTTGGCATTTTGATAATTGTACCAGGATCTCAATTTTAACCTGAAAAGCATTTTAAGGAGAAAGTGAACCAGACATGCCACTTCTATAACCATCATACCCTTTGGTAAGGTTGGATTTTGAGAGGGCAAGGAGTTCCTGATGACATGGGGGTAAAAAGTAAGAATCCTTCTTACTGTAGTTTATGTAACAAAGAACTTATAACTTTTATTTTGTTTGAGAAATAAGCCTAAATATCAGTATGGCTAAATTCGATTAAACTAATAGACCTCTCTAGCTTCCTCTTATTTTCCTCCTAAATTCTGGAGATAGGGGCTTCTGGATATGCGCATTAGGTCTAGAGTTCACCTGCCGGAAAGGCAGAATTTTTTTCCTCTCCTATTATTGACACCCTCAATTGGATACAATTCTGTATACAAATAATGAGTTGAGCTCACTGTACTAAATTTTAAACTTGGTTTTCCCTACAAGGAAAAATACACAATCTATGAATACACAAGAATCATATCCATAAAAGTCTCCTGCTGAACTATTAAATTTTTAATGCATGCTCTGTAACAGTTTTTTGTTACATGCATACAGGAATACGGAAGCCTGTTAGAAGACAGCTAGAATTTCCTGAATGTATATGGTTCACTATGATTCATATCGAAGTGCAGAAGACTCAACAGCAACCTCAGTGGTAGTAGCTGAGCATAGGAAATCAGTAGACAGAATTAACTGGAAGTAGAGCACGGAGCACATATATAAACTGTGTTAATAAAAAAGATTATTTATTCAGCTTTACATGCCTCACATGGTGGTAGCATGTCAAGAGAGATCTGCCCTACAGTTACACTAGAGTACAAATGTGTAAAGTCCTCACTGCCATGTAATCTGGCTCCACACTGGGCAGATTCATCCTTAATAGGTTACTCCTGGTGAGGGAGGTGGGCAGAGCATGGGTAGGAAAACACACTTTAAGATGTGCAGGGATTGAGACTAAGGCTCTGCATATGAACATTTTTGTTAGCTCATTATGAAATGCACAGGAGCCTTCGCTCAACTCCTTATTTTCACGGTCCAGATTAGTTCAACCACAAATTATTGGTGTTGATAGTCTCACGTACCTAGTAGGGAAGAATAATTTCCTCCACCGCAGGGTGAAATTCTATGGCCTGGGTATTGTAGGAAGTCAGATTACATTATCATAGTGATCTCTTATGGCCATAAAGTCTATGAATCTAAGTTAGCCAGACATGCATGTACAGTTGTGCACGTAAGTAGTTTAGAGGGGAGGAAAGCTTCTAAAGAGTACTGCACATACACAGCAGAGCCAAAGAGTCTTAACTCCATCAGCTCAAAAACAGTTTTCAGCAGACTGTTCAAAGACACTTCTCCTCTCTAAGGATTATCTCGTTGCCAAATTTCAGTTTTCTTCTCCTAGCTATTCCAGCTGCATCGCTGTACAGAAAAGAGCACAGGAATTTTTCAGAATGTTATCAACAACTGAAAATGGGAGGTTAGAATGCTAATACTTTGAGCAGGGGGTTGGACTAGATGACCTCCTGAGGTCTCTTCTAAGCCTGATATTCTATGATACTTATGCAATCTTAATGTGATTTCTGTTCTTGTTATGGACCCTGACTCAGCACAGTACTTAAGCATGTACCTAAGTTGAAATCAGTGGGACTACTTGTGCAATAAAAGTTAGCCACACGCTTAAGTACCTTGCTGAACTGGGGCCATAATGCTGCCCTTCTATTACTTTCACGGCATAAAATGAAGCCAGATTATTTTGCAGAGTTACCATTGTTAATATTGCTCAGATTGAAGACATTCATTCCTGGTGGAAATGTACATTATGTCTCTTTCCAGTTGTGATTCACCTGTCAATGGAGTTTGATTAAATATATACTACAAAAATATTTCTCACTTCAATGTTTCATTATAGATTGGTATGGGGAAAATGTATCTGCTTCACTCATACGTTTGAAAACATGTTCAGTTACAAGATAAAAGGGTAGGCAGATGACTGGATCATTACGGTACCCATGGTATACTAACCGGTTTGATGTCTTGCAATCCAGAATTAATTAAAATCTGAGCAAGAATTTTCTCCCTCTCTCTCAGCACCTTCAGCTTCTCCCTAATAAAATACCTTGGGATAGGGATTTCTATGTGTTCCTAGGGGAGAGAAATATTCATGGGACACTGTTAGAGCTGTATTTAAAACCATGTTGCTTATTACCTTAACACCTTTCCTTTACAGACTAATTAAGTTGGCCTAAAGATTCTTGAATTTCCAGGAGTGTTGTGTGACTTGACCTATGTAACAGCTGCTGTGCTATTACTTTGCAATTACTCAAGGTCTAAGTCAACAACAACAAATCAATCCAGTTTCTGAATCATCCCCACCCGGTTTCATACAGGTTTCCACAGCATTTTTTTAAAATTGTACAATTACAAATAAAAAAATTAGCAACTATTTTGAACATTTCAGAGTGTGCTGGTATATAAAAATGTACAGACAGTGACTTCCTCTGAATTTAATAAACTCATTAGTATGATCCTCCCACATTATTTAATCAACATCTTGGAAAACAAATCAGCTGTATTGCATTGTTATTATTACAAGGAATTAAGACTAGATTAGTTATCTAGCCGCTTCAGTATTTCTAAGGTGCCTATCCCTGTGGTATCTAATCACCTCTCAGAATCAAGAATGATTGGAAATGTCTACCCAAGAGTCTGCCTTTACTCACTTGTATCATAAGATGAGTATGTGAGCATGAGATGGTCGAGTTCAGGATCCTGACACAAGGAAGAAAGGAGAGCAGCAGAATACGGACCCTGGATTCAGAAAAGCAGACTTTGACTCCCTCAGGGAACTGATGGGCAGGATCCCCTGGGAGAATAAGATGAGGGGGAAAGGAGTCCAGGAGAGCTGGCTGTATTTTAAAGAATCCTTATTGAGGTTGCAGGAACAAACCATCCCGATGTGAAGAAAGAATAGTAAATATGGCAGACGACCAGCTTGGCTTAACAGTGAAATCCTTGCTGATCTTAAACACAAAAAAGAAGCTTACAAGAAGTGGAAGATTGGACAAATGACCAGGGAGGAGTATAAAAATATTGCTCAGGCATGCAGGAGTGAAATCAGGAAGGCCAAATCACACTTGGAGTTGCAGCTAGCAAGAGATGTTAAGAGTAACAAGAAGAGTTTCTTCAGGTATGTTAGCAACAAGAAGAAAGTCAAGGAAAGTGTGGGCCCCTTACTGAATGGGGGAGGCAACCTAATGACCGAGGATGTGGAAAAAGCTAATGTACTCAATGCTTTTTTTGCCTCTGTCTTCACGAACAAGGTCAGCTCCCCAGACTGCTGCACGGGGCAGCACAGCATGGGGAGGAGGTGACCAGCCCTCTGTGAAGAAAGAAGTTGTTCAGGACTATTTAGAAAAGCTGGATGAGCACAAGTCCATGGGGCCGGATGCGCTGCATCCGAGGGTGCTAAAGGGGTTGGTGGATGTGATTGCGGAGCTATTGGCCCTTATCTTTGAAAACTCATGGCGATTGGGGGAGGTCCTGGATGACTGGAAAAAGGCTAATGTAGTGCCCATCTTTAAGAAAGAGAAGAAGGAGGATCTGGGGAACTACAGGCCAGTCAGCCTCACCTCAGTCCCTGGAAAAATCATGGAGCAGGTCATCAAGGAATCAATTCTGAAGCACTTAGAGGAAAGGAAAGTGATCAGGAACAGTCAGCATGGATTCACCAAGGGCAAGTCATGCCTGACTAACCTAATTGCCTTCTATGACGAGATAACTGGCTCTTTGGATGAGGAGAAAGCAGTGGACGTGTTATTCCTTGACTTTAGCAAAAATTTTAATACAGTCTCCCACAGTATTATTGCCGGCAAGCTAAAGAAGTATGGGATGGATGAATGGACTGTAAGGTGGATAGAAAGCTGGCTAGATCATCGGGCTCAATGGGTAGTGATCAATGGCTCCATGTCTAGTTGGCAGTCAGTATCAAGTGGAGTGCCCCAAGGGTCGGTCCTGGGGCCGGTTTTGTTCAGTGTCTTCATTAATGATCTGGAGGATGGCGTGGACTGCACTCTCAGCAAGTTTGCAGATGACACTAAACTGGGAGGAATGGTAGATATGCTGGAGGGTAGGGATAGGATACAGAGGGACCTAGACAAATTAGAGGATTGGGCCAAAAGAAATCTGATGAGGTTCAACAAGGACAAGTGCAGAGTCCTGCACTTAGGACGGAAGAATCCCATTCACTGCTACAGACTAGGGACCGAATGGCTAGGCAGCAGTTCTGCAGAAAAGGACCTAGGGGTTACAGTGGACGAGAAGCTGGATATGAGTTGACAGTGTGTCCTTGTTGCCAAGAAGGCTAATGGCAATTTGGGCTGTATAAGTAGGGGCATTGCCAGCAGATCGAGGAACGTGATCATTCCCCTCTATTTGACATTGGTGAGGCCTCATCTGAACTACTGTGTTCAGTTTTGGGCCCCACGCTCCAATAAGGATGTGGAAAAATTGGAAAGAGTCCAGCAGAGGGCAACAAAAATGATTAGGGGTCTGGAGCACATGACTTATGAGGAGAGGCTGAGGGAACTGGGATTGTTTAGTCTGCAGAAGAGAAGAATGAGAGGGGATTTGATAGCTGCTTTCAACTACCTGAAAAGGGGTTCCAAAGAGGATGGATCTAGACTGTTCTCAGTGGTACCAGACGACAGAACAAGGAGTAACGGTCTCAAGTTGCAGTGGGGGAGGTTTAGGTTGGATATTAGGAAAAACTTTTTCACTAGGAGGGTGGTGAAACACTGGAATGGGTTACCGAGGGAGATGGTGGAATCTCCTTCCTTAGAGGTTTTTAAGGTCAGGCTTGACAAAGCCCTGGCTGGGATGATTTAGTTGTGGATTGGTCCTGCTTTGAGCAGGGGGTTGGACTAGATGACCTCCTGAGGTCCATTCCAACCCTGATATTCTATGATTCTATGATAAAAATTACAACTGTCTCACATTTCCATTGCTTGTTTTCTTACAGGATTACTCCCTGATGCAGAGAAGTGAAAGAAGAGGGCTTCTTTGAGAGACATGCAGAGAAAGAAGAACCCCCAAAAGATCTATGAGTTAGTAGAAGCCAAGGCACTACTGAGTAGCACAATTGATTGTTAGAACCTTGCTTATGAATAGAGGCAATTCTTCCAAGAGTAAGCTATCACTAGCACTCCTTAATGGCAAGTACAAATTAATGAAAAGACATTAGAAAGACCAGGTGGGCAAGGTAATATCTTTTATTTGACCAACTAGTTTTGGTGCAGAGACAGACTTTCGAGCTTACACAGAAGTGAAGAAGAGCTCTGTGTAAGCTTGAAAGCCTAACTCTTTCATCAACAGAAGTTGGTCCAATAAAAGATGTTAACGCTTCCACATTGTCTCTCTAATGTTCTGGGACTAAACATGACTACTGTGTCACTGCAAACATGAAAACACATTGACAGCAGTCTCTGTTTTGGACTCCTGATAGACCTGGAACACAATGGTGCTATTAACAAAGATTTTATTAAAGAAATGGCTAAAATATTCGCTCAAGCAAACGGACTGTTGATTTTGTTTCTACAGAACCCTGGCTATCACTTCAGATATGGGCAAGAGTATGATGCACAAGCAGCGAAGTGAAAAGGCATTTGATGCCCACCAAAATAGCACCAATGTCAATAATCAAGTCTATGTTATCATCAACTGTTGAGAACAGTTCCAAACCACCCTCCCCAAGCATCTCAATGCTATCTTACTCAGCAGTGACACCATGTCTTTTTAGTCCTAAGGTGGGGCAGAGGGACGAGAATTCATCTTCATTTTTTTAACATCTGATGTTAAAAATGTTACATTTCAAACCCATCAACTTTTCTCTCTTGGTTGATTTATCTATAAATCATCAAAATACAGTAATGTTCATAATTGTGGTTTTAAAAAAAATCTAATACATTTCAAGTTATCAGGTTCTGAATGATGCCTTTATATTCTCCAATATGTATTCTGATGGTCAAAATAGTTGTCTGCTATGAATAAAGTAGCAGAAAGATGGTTGATTGAAATAAGTGGCAATCACTGTACTATACATATTTATATGGCAAAATCAGTTAAAAGCCGCAACTTGTTTCATATCTAAAAACTAAAGAACTAATTCTATAATATATTAAGATACCACTAGGCAATTTCTTTCACATTATAACCAGGATCCAGAAAATAGTAATCATTTAAACAATAACTTTGTTTACTTTTCCATTAGAGAAGCTGTTACCTACAGTACCCAACTTTGACAACAGGTAGAGTTGTCAGAAACAAAAGGAAATATCAGTCAAATCACCATTATTTCTCATCCGTTTTTTAATACCTTCAACCTTCAAGGATCCATATTATGGCCATACAGTAGAACCTCAAAGATACGAGCACCAGAGTTATGGACTGACAGACACCATGTGAAACCGGAAGTAACCAATCAGGCAGCAGCAGAGACACAAAACAAAACAAAAAAGCAAGTACTGTACTGTGCCTGTATTGCATCTTAAAGGTAGGCACATCTGGGTTGAAGAACAGGAGCAGCGCTGGGGTCTGCGCAGCTTTTGCCCCTCTCCTCCTTGCCGGGTGGGGGGCACGTTGTTTTTACCTCCCCCCGCCCCCAGCTGGGAGGGGGACATGCTGTTTTCACCCCCACACACCCCTGCCTAGAGAGGAACATGCTTACAAATTCATGCTGGGGCTGAGTAGGGAGCTCAGCCACTGCTGAATCCTGCTGGATCTGGAGCCTGAACTGCGCTTTGTTCAGAGTTACGAACATTTCAGAGTAACGGACAACCTCCATTCCCGAGGTGTCCATAACTCTGAGGTTCTACTGTATTTACTAGAGTTGAGGTTTAGTTGGGTTGTCCTTCAGACAACAAATTGGATCGAAGGGTTATTACAAGGCAATCCTTTTCCCTAGACATTGAATGTGATCCTAGCCCCTTCCTGTCTTGCAATGAGAGGGCAGACTAAAGTTTCTCAGGTGGCAGTTTGGAGAACTAACCACAGGACCAGTCTATTCCCCATCTAGTTTTATTTGTAACCTCTGAGAGAGCCATGAGATCAAACTGATTCATCTTGAAGCAAAAGGCAAATCAAACTGAAGTCTGATATTGGCTGTGGCTTGGTCCTAAGTGGACCGTCCTATGTGATCCTACAGTAAAATCAGGTTGGATTTTCAATGTTACCATTATTAACATAGAAGCTGACTTATTCTAGCATGAGTTCACTTTAGGACCAAGTAGAACAAGTCAGACATAAAGGAGATCACCTTTATTAAAAACTATACATCTTTGGTAGTATTACAGACATACTGAAATATAACATTGATCAAGCAGATTCATTTTTAAAAGCTTGCTCCCACATGAAAGGCTCACTGTAGAACGAATATATTCTATATAGTTATTTTTAACAGAAATACCATAAATAGTGACTATGCAGTAAACTAGTGAGCATATAGTAGGCCAAGTTCTCTGCTGGTGTAAATTGGGGCAGTTTCATTGAAATAAATGGCGCTCTGCCAATTTACACCAACAGAGAATTTAGCCCAGTACAGTTAAATAGTATTGACTTTCTGGTAAATACTAGGCTAGATCCTCAGATGGAGTAAATCAGCACAGATTCATTGACGTCAACAGATTTACATTAGACTATAGAATATATAGAATATATTCCTAACTTGCTTATGATAAAAGTATACCTACAGGGGACAGCTTAAGATCTTGCAGGATATCATCAAAGTAATGAAACTCTGAGTTCTCCAGCTCCACCATTTCATTCTTCAGCTCCAGGATACGGCCCATCACTCCCTCCAGCACTTGCCGAATCACTAACCGTTTTTGTGGGTGAACGATCTGGTCGTAGACAGTCTCCAAGTTACAGAAAATTTGCACATATTTGATGTAGAAGGTGGCTAAAGTCTGGAACACTGTTATGCGATCCTTCTGTGGCTTTAGGGACTTATCTTCTATCTCCCTCTGCAGCAGACCGTTGAGGGCTTCTTGGGCTTCTGCCCACATCTTATTATAAGTGCTAATTGAAAGGAGAAAAGAATATCTTAGCTGCAGATATAAGCATTGATTAGCACACAATTGGATGCACAGTTACTGAGTATCTCCAAGACTCCAGAAGTGTGGATATCTCGCAAATGTAAGCACTGAAGTGCATTTTAATTCCAAAAAGATTTTAAAAACGTAGCTAAAATGTATTTTAAAGCAGAGTTTATGTATTTTATCAGCATTACTTAATTAAACCATAGCTCTTTTTTATTGTCTCTACTAGTAAAGCGGGTTTAGAAATAGGAGTTTTAAAATTATGCTTTAATAACATAAAAAAGTTAGAAATTGTTGGAGTTTATCACAAAATATAGTTGTAACGACAGCCCCCGTCTAGCAACGAGCTCTGCATAGGCAGACCCCTGTGCCTATGTGAAACCCCACTGAAGTCAATGCGGGATCAGAACCTAAGGCATGTACGTCAGGCGTCACAACCCTTATTGCATGATTCGATGTCCAGTGGTTGCAATTTAAAAAAATAAAATGTTAGGCTCCCCTTTTTATTCTCCTGTCAGGAACTGGGCTGCAGTAGCATCAAAAAGGAGTTTAAAGGTTACAATGGTGGTGATGTTTTTTTTCATTGGCAATATGAGGACATGGAATTTATATCACCTGCATCTTGGAAATTGTCGGTTCTGCAAGGAATTGCTGGTATTTCCACAGGCTGTGACAATAACAGCAGGCTTCTCTTACAATCCAGCCTTTCCAGGCTAGCTGCAACAGCAATGATTGTGGGGGTGTAGCGGGGTGGTCACCTGCTCCGGCCTTAAAGGGCTTAAAACAGCCCAGGAGAGGGCAGTGGCTGGGAGCAAGCAGTCCCCAGGCTGAGTGGGGAAGCAGCCTCAGCTGGCCCTTATAAGAGGGCAGTGGGCTAGGAGCCCACACTCTCTCTCTAGCCTTTGGAGAGGGAGGGACTAGGCTGCCAGGGGAGCTGAGGAAAGTACCAAGGGTGGAGCAGTGCTGGGGAAGGGCCAGGGAGCTGGGGAGCTCCAGCCTAGCAGAGCACCAGGCTGCAGGCTGAAGTAAGGGCCCACTAGAGCTGCAGAGGGGCAGCTCCGCTATAGGTAAAGGGAGCAGGTCCAAACCCAACCTTGCCTGTGATGAGTGGCTTATACTGCAGTCTGCCCCAGGGAGCGGGGGCTAGTTGGTGACTGGCAGTAGCCTACGACTGAGGCGAGGCGGGGATAGTGGGTAGGGGTTCCCCGGGAGGGGAGACCCCGAGACTGAGGGGTGTACTGCCAGGGGGCAGTATCCCGGTGTGCAAGGGGCACCGGGTCCGGGAGGGACACGGGGGCCAGGAAAAGCGGGACACCGGCCTGCAGAGGGCGCTCTGACGGCTGGAGAGCTAATTCCCAGAAGGTACCAGCAGGAGGCGCCGCCGGGGTGAGTCCATACGGTTACAGGGGGGATCAAGGAAGGTAGTGTGGCCTAGAAGATAAGTGTGTGAGTTCTAGTCCCAGCTCTGCCACTGGCCTACTGGGTGACCTTGGGTAAGTTACTTCACCTCACCATGCGTCACTTTCTCTATCTGTAAAGTGGGCATAATGATACTCACTTCCCTTTGAAAAGTGCTTTGGGATCTACTGATGAAAGTGCTATATCAGCATTAGTTGTGTTTTTTTTTTTACAGTGGCAACATAGAGTATATTGGAACATGCTACTGTAAGATGGAAATTGGAACATAGGAATGGTTAAAGACGTATTTTAAAAAGAGCACTCAGTCTCACAGCCATGCTGGAAATCCTGAACTAAGAAAGGAAGTGCCATGTACAAAGGGTTGGAACTCTGCTTTCACTGTTCATCCTTAGTCTCTCAAATGCTGATGCATGACAGCTAGTAAGGTTGGAAAATAATGTGAGAAAGGACCTCACATGACAGAATGTATAGTTTTGTGGTTAAGACCATGGGCTGGGACTCAGGATATGCATCAATTCCTGGCTCTGTCATAGACTTTCTGTGTGACATTGGTCAAGTTACTTAAGCTCCCTGTGCTTCAGTTCCCAATATGCAAAATGGGGTTAATAATACTGTTTTTATCTGTCTTGTCTATTTACACTGTGTTTTCTTCAGGGCAGAGGCTACCTCTCACTATGTGGATGGGGCCTCTGATTTACTATAATACACATAAATAACAAGGTTTAAATCTGTAAGGTAAGGAGAAGCGGCAACTAAAAAACCAGACCTGACTCCCTCAGAATTCTGAGGAGATTTGTATCTAAAGCTGAAAGTACAGTTTTACTTCATCCAAAAACTAAAGCAAGCACCCTGGCTAGAAAACCTAGAGGGATGGAGTTCTCTGCTCCCTCTGTTGGGGAGAAGTGGAAAATCCAGCTCTGGCTAACTTCATTTACATGAATTGTAATATTGTTTACCCATAATTCCACCTATTGAGTTTTTGTTCTTTTGGTTGGAAATGTTTGTTTTCATGCGTAAAGGTGATAATAGGTTGTTGTTAGTACTGTGCTCATGAAAGGACATAGAACTGTGCAAGATATGCCAGGGGTGAGGAATCACCCTGACTGAATAAGAAACAGACTTTGGTTGGATAACAAAGCTTGGCCTCAAAAAAGAAATAGGAAGTTTTGTCTTGAAGAACTTTGATCTAGAGAATAGGGATTTTATCCTAGGGTCCAGTTCTGCTCTATGCTCCCCATGTGGTGATTCCCTAACCTCAGTGAAAAACTCTATAGAGAGGTGTGTCTGTATCAGTAATGATGGAGAAGTAGAGCTGGCTCTGTTCAAAGGCCTCACTGGCAGCAGTGGAGTAGAGTTGGTTCCACAGAAAGTCCTAACCAGACCAGTGGTGGCAATAGTGAGCTGACTTCACCGTGTCCCAGCCCACTCAGCTGGTGGAGGCAGACGTGAAAGCACTGGACTGGACTAGGTTGCTGCTCATTGGCGTCAGATCTGGCAGAATAGTTCTCTGAGGTCTAGAGCTGACAAGCAGAGGAGAGCCACCCTTGGATATCCTTTGGTTACCACTGAGACTAACTCAACCTGTGAGTGGGGTTTTTGGTGGGTGGAATTTGTGGTGGTACAGGGTTCTGGAGCTCCATAAGCTGGACTGGGAGATGACCAAACTCTTGGTGTATTAATTTGGGTTGTTCAGTTTCTCATATATAAATATATATCATTGTTTTGTTTCATGTTTCTTTTGGATGTGTTCATCTTTCTCCCCAAATTAAAGATTCCCGTGTTCCATATTTCTGAATGACTTTCGAGCGCTTGTGAGTGGGGGAAAAACCTTCCTGTAAGCGTGACAAGGGAAGCTTTATTTTTATTTCCCAGAGCCAGAAACAAGAGTACTGCTCTGGGTGGGGTTCGAGTCATATATCAATTTACCTTAGATACATTGAACCTAGCCCTTGTTGCTGTCACCGGCACCTGGCAGAAGGATTATTAACACATTCAATTGAATTATATCTGTTACATTTTATAGAGCTATTTTGTACCAGTTATCTTGCTGGTCTGATTGGGACTGAGAATGCAGTTGCATATTACTTTTCTGTTGTGATGAAGAGGCCAAGCAGCTGCAACCGGTGTGATTGTCATCCATAAGTGTATGGGTTGGAATCTTCGTAAGCCAATCATATTGTTCCCTCATGCCTATGCATTTTATAATACTGAATGATATACTTGCAATTCTAATGAGGCTATGGAGATGACAGGATAATATTGCAGTAAGGTTTCTCATCTTGGACATAGTGGCTTGAGCTCTCTGTATTTGTTTATTTCTTCAGAATATTGATGGGGATGTTCTGACTGACTAGAATGCTCAGCAAAAATATGACCAATCTGAGCCTGTTATTGAATTTACATGCTTTAATTTTTTTAAAGTGTATACTATACTTTTCAGCTTCAGCAGGATGCAGCTGGCCCTGCTCTTCTTAATGTATTAAGAGCCCACCCAGATCTTTCCCCCTTTCTTCCTACTTCATTTATATCCCATTGCACCAACTGACTCAGTAGATTGCAGCAATTAACCCAGGTGCAAGAGATAAACAAAATAAAACCACTGGGGTATGAAAGATTGGCACAAGCAAGAACACCATTAGCTTGTGCCCTGACAGCTCAGCCAATTGATCAATGGGGGTTTTGTACACGTTCTTAGAATTGGGGACTCAGATGAACGGAAACCAATGAGACTCATGGGGTACTCCAGCACAGAAGAACACAATACGCTATTGTACTTTCCTAGCTGTGTGTATCTAGAAACAATTTTGCAGTGGGGAGGTTATAAATCTTTGAGGATGTCTGGCCCTATAGGCTGTACCCCAACTACAGGCTTGATTTATGAACAGTGGGTATCCTCAGGCTAGAACATTTCAAATGCAAGTTGTTTCAGAGCTGACAATAGGCATCAGTGCAACCAAAACTGCCCGTACAACTGTCCACTCCATTTTACAATAACCTCTTTCTCTCTCCCCAGTCTGGGGAGAATGCCAAGTGTTCTCCCATTGTGCCAGCTAATATTCACAGTTTCTTTTTATATTTTTGAATAATTTTTTTTTTTAAATTAAAGCATGTTAACATAAGGCAAAATAGTATCAGATACGTGTAAGATAATGACAAATTACTGCAAACATGTTGTTATGGATCGGTTTCATGTCTGTGGAGATCATGACATTTGTCTGTTTTTCCAGCATTAACATTCAATCTAAATAAAGGACAGGAAAAGGGGGGGGGGGAAATAAAGTACAAAACATTAAGGAAAAGAAAAAGGCGGGAAAAGAATGACATCAAAACAACCAGGGGCAGATCCTCGCATGGTGTAAGTCAGCATACACCATTTGAGGATCTGGCCCCTAGTGCTTAAGATAGGGAGCCAGCTGACGCATAACCAGAATGGGCACTATTTGTTCAGGCAGTGATGGAGGACGTGCGTTTTAAGTGTCTCAAATCCTATCTTAGTTTGATAAAACAAACAAGTAAACACACAGCCAGATGTTGCCAGATCTGATCATAGCGGTGCAAATTCTCACGTAAATATTCAGTGATTAAGGCCATGCTGGTCCATAGGTGCAGTAACCTTAGGGCTCAAAGGTGCCTGAATGTGTGGCCCTGACTGCGCTGCTGCACCACAAGGGCAACTCCAGGAACAATTGTGCTCCTGAGAGGCACAGTCTCCTCCTGAGTGCCTAGGGGCAGAAATGGAGCATGCCCACTGCAGTCTCCATTAGTTTCTACAGTGTCTGCTCCTCTGTCAGAGTGGCTAATGCTCCCTGTGTGCTAGAGGGAGCAATCTCTGTGCTGATGGGAGTGCCTGGCCCCAGCCCAGGGACCATAGGAGGGGAGTGAGGCCCTTCAGCCCTCCCACCTTACTAACCAGGCAACATAGGGCCCTTCACTCACTTTTCATTTGGCCCATTTGCTACGGTTTTCTTCCCACAAGCTTGAAAGGGCACCACACCCTGTCTTCAGGAGAAAGAGGGACCTGTGGGCAAAAATGGCTTCCAGCCACCAAATCCTGACTGCTGACTTTTCTTTTAATCTTAAAGGAAAGTCTCTGCTAGTTGTGATGTACACTAGGAACTGTCATCAAGACATCATGAAGACTGGCTCCCTTTCCTTCATTATTACGCAGTGGTCATTAGGGTCATATGTACTAGTGTGTGAAGTTACATCAGAAGTGGATTTAACCCATTAGGGTGAAGATCATAATTATGACCCTGATCCTGCTAATACTCATGCACATGCTTAATGTTACTATCACAGGTAGTCCCATTGAATTCAATGAGGCTACGCATGGTAGTAAAATTAAATATGTGTGTGATGTTCTCCTCTGGTGTTATCTGGACCAGTGATCTGCTAGGTGACTCCAATCCTTGACTCTGGGAGCCAGCCTTACCCTGCTCTGCTGTGAGAACCCCCACTCCTGGGCTGTTCACGCACAGCCTCTGGCATGTAAGCTGCTCCCAGTTACTTGCAAACGAATGACACTAGCCAATATCTCCGGTCCCAGACACAACCCTAAGAACCTCCCTCTTGCAGTGTCCAGTTATGCCCGCTGGACACTGCAAGCTTATATGAGTTCCTCAATTTAACAAAGAAATTGATATGCATCAGGCTTGTTATCCCAAGGGGAGCCTCTGACACACTTCACACCAAACCAAACACACTGCTTTGGGTAGAATAAACAAACAGATTTATTAACTATAAAGATAGATTTTAAGTGATTATAAGTCAAAACATAACACGTCAGATTTGGTCAAATGAAATAAAAGCAAAACACATTCTAAGCTGATTTTAACACTTTCAGTGCCCTTACAAACTTAGATGCTTCTCACCACAGGCTGGCTGGTTGCTTTTTAGCCAGGCTCTCCCCTTTGATCAGTGCTTTAGTCACTTGGTGTGGTGGTGTCTGTATATGTAGGTGGAAGAGAGAGGAAGAGCATGGCAAACGTCTCTTCCTTTTATTTTGTCCTTTCCTCCCCCTTGGCCCTCCTTTCCCCCCCCCCCCCCCCCCCAGAGTCAGGTGAGCATTACAGAATCTCTCCAAGCAAGGTTGAGCAATTCCCCTGGTGTGGCCACATGCAGGTGAGT